TGCAGGGCAACCAAAGAAGACCCAGCCGATCAGCTGAGACTCAGGAGGCAGGGAATAGATGGGGGTGGGGCCAGTCAGAGGTGGTATTTGCCGGTTCTCCAAACTATTCAAAATTTCCACTACTCAAAATTTCCACTGCTCCAGAACTGGTTGGAACCTGCTGAATGGCACCTCTGATTTTGGGGCAGAGGTGTCTGCAAAAGAATAGGTGGTGGCAGGGGGCCCTTCCTGTGATGTTTGGAGGCAGTGGATTTGTTCAGTTTTCAAAAAAAACAACTCTGACAAGTCACACTAGGCTGCTTGTTCAGGTCTTCCAGAGTTATTCTGAAAATGCAAATTTTCACATTGGTGAGAGGTGATGCCATCAGGCGAAAAGGACTAGCCCAAGGATGGCATGTACCTGTAGAGACTAAAGAGGATGATCACGATGGAAAGAGGGATGATCCATTGCCAAGGCAATGAGTAGGTAAACAAACCCAGAAGGGCTAGAAAGTATCTCAGACACTTCCAAGATTTAGATAAAGGTAAAAGAGACTTGTTGGGACCTGTAAGGTTTTGTTATTGTAGCCAATCTTAATCAAAATACAGTAGTTTTAGGCACATGTGGTTTATTCTGGTCTCCCTTCCAGGTAATCAGGCATAAAAAAAGCAGTGAAGTTGTAACAACAGCAGACCAATTAATTGTGAGGTTCCTAAAGGAGTAAAAATAACACTGCCATCTTCATTTATCATCAAAATGATTATTACGGCATAATTTACCTAACGCTTGCTTCATGTTAACACCATTGATCAGGGTTCTCACCAAGAACTTGAGATTCATGAAAGTATCACATCTACATATACTACTAAAACTCTAGTTCTCATAACTTTTAATTGGGCAAAATGGTGCATTGTAAGGTAACAGTTTATGAACCACAGTACCTTAAATGGGCTAACTTAAGAATGTGTCCAAAATCTAAACTGTTTCTCATGCTGATGTTTGATTGTATTATTCAGTTCGATATGGGCTGTTTTCAAATAGATCTCTGAATGTATCACGTTTCCAATGTTGGAAGAAATATCCTTCTGGGTTCAGTTCCAAGTGGGGAAAAAGACACTGGAAATATGGAGGCTATTTGGAAAGATGATTTAATGGTTGACAGGACCACATGGCTCAAAGCTCCAAAGAAGGATGATCACATGCTCCAAGGTGAAGGAAAACAGAAAAAAGGGGCCGGCCAAGATGCTGAGACCCTTATAAACCCTCTGTTGGACCCTATCTTAGTGTTTCCTGTTCCTGTGCAAGAAATGTATCCCATTGGCTGTCAAACTCCCAGGGATGGGGAGGTCTTAGCTAACTTTGTAGGCTTTCCTGAGTTCCAGGCTTGGCTGAGCCTTGCTGGATGATGATGCACTGGAAGGGCTCTTGGGCAATTGTTATACCTTTACCTGGAGATCTTTGTTATGTAAAGTATTCTGGCCCAGGCCTTAATGGCCCACCCATTAACAAAGGTGTGGGGGGCTGAGTTTCTGCCTCTCTGAGTTTCTACTTTACTCTTTTTAGGGGAAATATTCTGCCTTTTTATATTTCCCAGGATATTTCATTTTTCTAGAAGAACGGTGGGTGTTAACTTCCTACATCAATAAAGGCAGTATATTAGTGGCTTTATCATTGTTGAAGGCACTGAGTCATCTGGTAAGGAAGAAATTCTTGGGTCTGTAACCTTCAATGAAATTTCCCTCCAAAATATGTTTTTTTTAAAAACAGTGATGGAAGGATGAGGAAACCACTCAGAAGCTTGCTGATTAGGTAGGGCTGGTTGGGAGGTGCTGACAGGACGGGGTACCTTGGAGACACACCAGAGAGCTGGGATGCAATTTTCTTTGCATTCTGCAGCTCCTTTTATCCCCACAACAAAGTGTCAGGCAGTCCTGTGGGTCACCAAGGAAGAGGTGTAGTTTCTGATGCTGCCTGCCAGCTTCCCACAAGCAAAATCAATGGGTAAGCCGTCAGGAAGCCACTGTGTTTTTGTACACTTGTGGCCATTTTGTTTCTCTGTTTAGGTAACGAAATATCTTTGAAAGTTTGACCAACAGGCCATGGGTTGTCTGGTAAAACATATGCTGATTGAAAATTGGTCTTGTCAAATCCATCCATTTTGGAATTTCTAAATATTTGCTAAATCCTTTTAATACTGCATTAAGTTTCAATTACAATGGGTACGATAACAGATTTTACTTTCATAATTTTCAAGCTCAATTAGTAAATCATGATATATTGATATTTTCTCCATTTTGCTGATTTGCTTCACTGTCTTGAGGCATTGCCACATCAGGGAACCATTTGTTCTTTTCTGCAACAGTAATACCTGCTATACTCAGGGGTGGGATTCTACCGGTTCTGTCCATCTCTGTAGAACCGGTAGCTTTGAAGAGCAGCAAACATAGGACCAGTTCTATGTCTGCTGATGTTTTGGCGTACCCACCCACCCACCCAGGCTCTTAGCTGATGTTTATTTCCTGATTTTTCAACTTAAGCTGTGGAACGAGGCACAGCTGCAGTTTAAAAAGCAGGAAAAGAGGGCTGTTTCAAAGGCTGCTTCTCTGCAGGCAGCATGCCGATGACGGTTTACAGGCACGCGGCTCACAGCATGCAGGGAACCTCATAAATCCCTAACCAGTAGTTAATCCTTCCTATCCCACCCCTGGCTATACTGCATTATGGTTTATTAGTTTGATTTCTGAAATTTCACAAAATTTCTATCAGCCCATTTTGCAAAACTTTTTCAGGTACATCATATGCCAATGGTTTTCTGGCAAACAGCGCAACAGAATTTCTTCCTGTAACCTCTAGTGGACCATTTCAGCAACCCTACCACGATGTCACCGTTTGAAGAATTTTACTACAGCCACCCATGAGAGGATCTCCAGTTTTGCCCTTAATTCTACATAGCAGACATTCGGTATTCTTGAAAACTATTCAGTTTTGGCTTTGATTGTATTGCAAGGCTGGTTCTGGAACTGCCATGATTATTTTTCCCTCGTTTTCTTTTTTTTTAAGCGTTCCAGAATTCAACCACAACCAGGTTAGGCTTTGGCGATGGTGATGAGTAGCAGGGCACCAGATCAACGTTGCCCCGCCTCCCAAACTACCCATTGGAGGAGAAGCCAATCCAGCAGAGTAACTCGCGAAGCCAACCAATCCTACACCGCGACCGCCGACCGACCAGCCAATAGCTTCAAGACCGAGGCGGAATTCTGCCAGGCGGCAGCTCGGGTGGAAGAGGGGCCGTACAAAGGTTGGTTTGAAAGGGGCGGGCTGCCGTTCCCCGCAAGAAGAGCGTGCGAGCGCGGGGCGAAGGAGAGGGAGCCGCCGCTGAAACTGAGGGGAAGCTCCTCCGGCGTGGCGCCGAAGAGGCCAGCTGTAACGCGGGAAAGGCCCCCCCTTTTTTTTCCTCGTGCAAAAAGAACCGGGCAGCCGCTGCCAGGCTGACGTTGTCGGAGGGGAAGGTCGCCTCTCCTCAGCCCGCCGCAGCGCCTTGCAGGCTTAGGCACGGGAGGTCTAGCGCGGCGGCAGGCGGGCGGGTGGTCTCCGAAGAAGTCGCGCCACAAGGCAGCTCCTGCGCCCTCGTCAACCTCCCCTCCCCTCCAAACCTCTCCCAGCCCCACAATTAGCCTATGATTGTGCGGGTGGTTTTTTTTTGCCCCGCCGCTACAGCTGGTGAACGGCTGGTGGTTCCTTGGCTGCAGCGGAGAACGGCGCATCCTCGCCTGGAGAGGCAGCAGCGCAAGCGTCGGCTTTTTTGTGTGTGTGTGTGTGCCGAAGAAAGAACTCCCTGCCACCGCTGGCTGAAGCGACGGTCGAAAGAAGGAGCTTCTCGCTTTCTCCGCCTGCGCCCTGCCCGGTTTTTTTGGGGGGGTTTTGCTTCCACCCCGCCTGATTCTGCCTTCGATCCACCGGATTCCGGGTTCCATCATTCCAAGGGCAATATAGCGGCGCCCGTCCCGGCAAAGCGTCAGCGATCCCACCCACTTGGCTCCCTCCAAGCAGGGAGAAGAGGGAAGAGATACCCGGGCCGACCCGGCGGCCGATTCGCTTCCAATAAATAACGCTTCAAGTGCCGGCTCCGGGGTTGGTGGTGCTTCGCTAACCCTTTCCACTGCAGCAATGTCGCCGCTGCCTTGAGCAAGAGCAATTGGGGGTGGGGGTGGGGGGGGGGGGGGTGGTGGGGGAAAGAACCGAGAAGGGGCTTCGGAGAGGCGGCTGGCTCGCTCGCGATTCCTCAAGCCGATCCTTAGGGCGCCCTTCTCGAAACTGGAGGGGATCGGACAATGAGCCAGGGGCTTGCCAGGCGCCCGGGGCGCTGCCTCTGGGGCTGCCCTCTGCCACAGCTGCCCAGATGACCAACGCATAGGCGGGTTGCCTCCAGGCCAAATTAAAAATGACGCTTCTGCATGGTTTTACTCCGCTTCCTGGAGAGTAGATCGCGGGGAGATGATGCCGCCTCTTTGAGTTCGTTTTGGACAGCCAGGTCTTTCGCGGGGAGGAGATCCCGAGAGAGAGAGAGAGAGAGACATGCCAAGATGCTCCACAGTGATGATTTAAACAAAGTTACGTTCTGGTTGTAGAGTGATTGTGGCTTAAAGCGAAGGGGGGGGAGGGATCAACACTCCAGGTGCCTTTTCCTCCTCTGTCTCCGTTTTCTACGCATGCCGGTGTGGTGGATTTGAATTCTTGATCGGCCAGCGAACTGCCAAAACCCCGGGGACTTTCTTTGGGGGGCGGGGGCGGGAAATGACAGAAGGGGAATCCTTGCCAGAGAGCCCACCTTTCTTTCCGTGGGAGGGGAGGGAAACTTGCTTCCCAGCCAGCTCTCTATGTGGCTATATAAATCCTGCATGAGGAAACACTGGACTCCTGGGAAGGGAAGGAGACACGAGTGGCTTTCCAGCTGGCAACTAAGAGAGATTTGAGTATCCTTGGGGACGCTGTTGGATCTGGTTCTGGATTTGAGGTTTGGTCTCCTGCCCTCGCTTCCACCCTCCCGTTCATTGGTGGAGAGATGCTATTTGGAAGAGCCGGAGAGATGCCGTTTGGTTCTGTGTCATGAACCACCCAATGTCTTCTGGTTGATTTCCCTCCCACCCTCTTGTTGGTTTCCTGGAATTCCTGCCTTTCCTCTGCTGCCCCAGCAGGGCATGTCCCGCTCCAACAGCGTAAGCCCTCCGGGGTTTGGAGTTTCTGCTGCGCCCAGGGGTGGAGGGGCAGAGCCACATCGCTCTGCCTGGGGAGAAGCTGAATCCAGAGCCAATGGCTACTCCTACCCTCTCCCTACCAGGGCCTCAGTCAAGGAATCTTCCAGAATGGTGAGCAGGTGGAGGAATGAGGAGGAGTATGACCTTCCAGTTAGCAGGAACCATGGGGTAAGTGGCTGCAGGATGATGAGCTTCAGGTCCAAATCTGCTTGGCAGGATCGTAGTGGAGACAACAGACAGCACTCCTGTCGGGCAGGAGATCCCTCCCTTGCCCCAAGTCCAAGACACTATGGTAGTGAGCAGGGTGAGGTGCATCCACGTTCTGTGGAGCTGGGACTGGAGGAGAAACGGATCAAGGCCAAGATGGACGAGCTGGAGGAGGAGGAGGAGGAGCAGGGGGGTGATGAAGTGGGTTCCGAGATGATCTTCTCAATGGGCAGCTGTTGTGGAAGCCTGCTGCAGATCTTCAGGTCTAAGAAATTCCAGTCAGAGAAGTTGGAGCACCTCTACCAGCGGTATTTTTTCCGTCTCAACCAGAGCAGCCTGACCATGCTGATGGCAGTGCTAGTCTTGGTGTGCCTGGTCATGCTGCTCTTCCACACTGGTCATGGCCATTACCAAGTGCCCTACGTGGTGGTGCTGTCCCTGGCCATCCTGCTAATGGTGTCCCTGGGGGCCATCTGCAACCGCAATGATTTCCACCAGGACCACATGTGGCTCATGTGCTACTCTGTCATCCTTGTGGTGTTAGCTGTGCAAGTGGTTGGCTGCTTGCTAATGCAGCCCAGAAGTGCATCAGAGGGCATCTGGTGGACCATCTTTTTTATCTACAGCATCTACACTTTGCTACCCATCAGGATGAGGGCAGCAGTCATCAGTGGTGTGGTATTGTCTGCCATCCACCTGGCCATTTCTCTCAAAATCAATGCAGAAGACAAAGTCTTATTACGACAGGTAAGGCTGAACTGTTGGATGTGTGGCTGCTAATTCGGACTGAGAACTTGCAATACCTGGGGATTGTTTTTGGAAGTGCCTGGCTCCAGGCTTAGTCCTTTCTCTGTGTTGATGCTCCCTGTCATTTGATTTCCTTGCATTTCTTTTTATTTATATGCCTAATTGACCTTAACTGAACACTCGGAAAGCGGGGTTGAGGCATGGGTTATTTGGCCAATAGGAGAGAAACATAGCTTCTTGCTGTTAAAGAATTCTTTGGATTTGATTATTGATACAATAGTATTGTTAATTAAAGAGGTGAAAACAATTGGGAAATACATGATTACCATGCTACCAAGAACTGCATTGTTCGGTGGCAATTGTCAGAATTAATTTTTCCCCCAATGAAATTCCACAAAGTTGTGGAGGAAAAAAAAGCTTCTAATAAGTATATTGCATAGCAAACCTCCCAAATTAGCTTGTTGCTCTGGAAGGAAATTTTCTTTCTGATAAAGCAGTTTCCTCTTTGTGTGGGTGTAGGGAGGATTTTGTTTATAGTTATGTCACTATTGTCAAGACCAGAGAATAAAACATGATTTAATCTTGAATGTTATATATCGTTCTTATATGTAAACTTTCCTTTCACGAACATAGGAATCCAGGTGCTTAGATTCCTCTGGAGTATCAGTTTATAATTAAAGAGAATGTCTGATATTACATCAGTTGAACATGTTATACAGGACTGTATTTTATGCACAGGGGCTTTGTGTTCTAACTTCATCTCACTTTGCACATCCATATTTATTATACCCCACCCCCCAGTGCTTTCATTTGGGAATTGATACCAAAGTATACCATATCTGTGCTGCAAAAATCACAGTAGCCATTCGACTAGAAGAAATTCATATGATTTTATTATCATTTAGTGTACATCTAGACATTTTCAATCCAGATAGAGAAACTCTTAAGTTCTGTTGTGAAAGATTCCTTAAAGCATGACTGTAGTTTTGTGGTTAGTTTATTTAATTTTCTCCTTTCGCCGTATTAGCACGAACATTAAATAGTAACAGTAACAGAGTGGCTTTATTAATATTTTTTGGAACAACCAGCCTGTGGAATAAGATTACGTGTATAGGTGCTACATGAAACTTACTAAGGGAATTGCTAAAGTTGTGCAGTTTTGCTGAAATAACACTTCAGCAGATCATTTCCTAATTTTACAACACTTTCATCTTTGTTAAACAAAATTAGTTGACAAAGAAAGCAAGGAGGGCTGTCATATCTTGCCTCTATCTTTTAAACTTAGAAAATCTTTCAAAAACTGTTTTTCCTCAGAAGGAGCCTAGTAAAGCTTTCGGTTTCAGAGCACTTTTGTGTTTCAAACTTTGGCTGCTATAAGTCAACTTGTGTTGAGGTTTCACTTAAACTTTAAATAAATGTCCTTGATTCTCCCACTGATTATCTGCAAAATGAAGATGATAATTCTCCGTTACTTTGTTGGACTCTTGTAAGGTTTTCTACTAACTGACTGATTGAGCTTCAGTTTTGTGCTTTTTCCTATCACATTACCTGATTCCCTTGTTTATTTTCCTGTTTAGCACATATCACATATACACTAACACCTGAAGTGAAAGAATCGTTTCACAGATAGAATAGGAAATTGTAAATCAACTGGCATGCATGAAGAAAAAGGGATTATGTTGACTTAGTGGTTTAGTTTAATTGTGAAGTGACCCAGAATATAAAGTGTTTGTAACGCTTGAAACTTTTAGCCAGCTATATCCTATGAATTATTTGTACTACAATTAGATTATTTTTTAATTTACTTTAAATTATAGGTTAGTTCTTCACATCTTTTCTTCTTTCTGTCAGAAGAGTTGATAGCTAGTCTAAAATGTTGCCTTTCAAACTATAAACGAAGCTTATATTTAGAGCCATCTGATACTAAAATTTAAATTGGCAACTACCTCACAACTTAACAGGCCATTTATTACCTAGACTGTAGATTGTTACCATAGAAATCTAATTTTTCTCTGATACTGCCCCGCTGTTGCATATCCTTTTTTTTTCCTTCCAAATAAGAAAGTCTGGGGTGGGGGTAGAAAACATGGGAATGGACCAAATCTAAATATTATTCTAATAATTTTCCGCTATTTTCAGTTTTCGTTTCATTCTTTCCTAATGAAATCCATATAGACAGGACATTTGCAGAGGTTTTTTTTTTTGTAAATTTTATTTGAGTTTTCACAAAGAGAAAAAAAAATACAAATAAAACATCTTTTTTGAAAGCAGCATAATCCCGGGTTACATTTCTTCATACAGACACAAATTCAGGTTCATGCTCATTTTTATATTCTATTCCATATCTTATTACTATTTTACATTTTCTGCATAGCTTCTCCCCTCTTTTAATTTTCTCAATTTTATTTTAATTATCTCATCTCAATTCAAATCATTGTATTTATATTTTTTGTCTGTCCTGTTTCAATTATCTATTATCTTTTCTCATTAAACGAAATTTCTCCTGTAGTTACTGATTGGAGTATGACGCCTTTATATCTTTTCCTTAAAGTTGTAACATTCAATATAATACATAACTTCCATTCGGATTCTGCTTGGTACATTCTTAAAATACACACTTTATTCTTAAAAAAAAGAAAAAAAAAATAAATGTATATAATTAAAACAACATTCCATTCCAATTCAATTCTATCATTAATATTAATATTCATTAAAGTCTTAACATCTTTAACATTACTTTTCAATTAAATATCATACTTCCATGGGAACAATTATAAGCTTTCCATAGTTAATTCCCCCCCTTCACTTATATTTTATAAAACATTAACTAATTAAATTGTTCCCGTTCCTTCCTAATTCAATTTTCTCATTTATTTTATTTCACTTATTTTATTCACAAATATTTCACTAAATTACACTAACTATTTTATCCCTCATTTTAATCATACATTGTTTCCAATTTTCTAAAGTTATTTCTATTACTAATATAACAATACAATCTTATGTACCTTTACAGAATCCTTTTTCAGTTAGATTTTCACCCATTATCTCTAAATAGGTTCTGTTTCTCTATATCTTACTCCGGTCCTTTGTAACGTCTTTTCCTTTCCTTCTTCCCTCTCTTCTTCTCTCTCCCCTTTTTACCCCCTTGTCTCTCTACCTCTATTTCTCTCTTCTGTATTCCCCTTTTCTGTTGCTTTCCAGTATTATACTTATTTTTTGAATTATTTTTCTTTTCTTTGGTTGTTTTTTTAAGTCTTAAATTCTCCATTCTCTTTCCCCCCTTTCCTTTTTCTTCCCCACACAGAATTATTTGTTCATTAAAGATGGCTTCTTCTTTGTCCCACTCTTCTTTTTTTGCAGTCTTTTCTTGTTGTTTCTCATAGTTCCAAATCTCCATTTCTAAGAATTGAAAGACGAAGCCAAAAGAACCCTTCCCTTCCTGTGCATCTTCTTTGTACTTTTTAAGTTCCATTTTCAATTCATCCAGAAGTGGTGCCATTGTATAAATTTTTAAACAACCACCCGATTGATTTTAGTCATTCAAATATAATAACCAAAAATCCAAAGATCACCAAATAATCCAAATACACACAAGCTGTTTCTTTTTTGCGCTTTTTTTTCACTTTCTCTTCCTGGGGTTACTATTTAGTTGCAAAGTTTCAGTTAAAATGTATATTTTAGAAGTCTTGTTGAAGTTTTACTTTAGATTCTTTTTAATTCCAGGCAGTCTCCTCCCTCTTCCAGATCCTGCCCTTATTCTTTTTCTCTCCCTTCCTGCTTATGAAAAAGAAAGTTTTTAATGTCCAGAAATCTTTATTATCCCTTTGGCATTTTGTTTTATTTTCAGCTTAATTGCCTATTGATGTCAAAGTGGATTTTTCTGATTTCTTATTTCTCTTAGTTGTCAGTATAGGGAAGGAGAGAGAAGGGGAAAAAAAAGGCAAACCTTTCCCTTTTCCCTTTCCTTCGCTGCTTCCGACTCTTCTTTGGGAGCGATGTTATTTTTTGTAAGTTTAAATTCCAGGGTACCGTGGTTGTTGCTTTTACAATTTAACCCGATCAGCCAAAACTTTCACTTCTTATCTTCCTCCTGCACATTCTTTTCCAGTCAAGTTCTTCTTTGTGGTGGCCATTTCTGACCACCGCTGCAACCGCCTTTGGGAAAGGGAATAATGGCCAGCTGAGGAGGAGAGATGCGGCTCTCCTCAACCCTGCTGGCAGTCTCCCCCCTCTTCACCACCTCTACGGGGTGGCTTAGCCCCGAAACCAGCCGGATCGGGGCGCTCCAGCGGCGAGCCCAGACAGAAACTGCGCACGATCACGGATTTCTGTCTGTTGCCAAAGCCCTTCAAACTGGAAGTCTGACATTTGCAGAGTTCTGACATGCCTCTATTTTCATGGGAATAAGAGGCTCTCCACTCTATTTATGGGTAAACTAATCTAGGACGGCATCACATGCAGATAAGGTTGGTGGATGAAACCCAATGTTGCCTTAGTGCGGGGTTTCTGAATCTTGGCCACTTTAACATCTGTGGACTTCAACTCCCAGAATTCCCCAGCAGCCATGCTGGCTGGAGAATTCTGGGAGTTGAAGTCCACGCATCTTAAAGTGGCCAAGGCTCGGAAACTCTGTCTTACTGGACTTCTCTGGCGGTGTTCCCACAAAAATGTCAATATTAAGGATTTCCAAATTATTCCAGATTTTGCAGGATGCATTTGTTCCTTTCCCCCAGGAGTGTTGGTTGAAGGACCTTCTCAGCAGGAAATCTTCCTCTGTTTGATTCCATAGCCATAACCTGAACAGCTCTGTGTTTCTCAGGTGTGTTGGCTCACATGATTTACTAGGAACAATAAAGCCAAAAAAACCATCCCATTTTATTTTTAAAAAGTGTATACTTAATTATGCATTATGTTGTGATTCATACATCTTGGTTTTACAAGCCTAGAGAACTTGTTTTAGAATCATTTACCATGCCTCCCTTCAAAAACCTGTCCTA